TATTTACAGAAAAAACAATAATGTATTATGAAGTTTAAAAGATATGTAGAAATAAAATATGTGATAACAATAGCACAAAAGACGGGGGCTGAAATAAAAGCATACTATTGCAAGGTTCTCATGTGACGTGGTATAGCATTACTTGAAGTTAAAGATCAGCTAAAGACATATACTGAAGATAATTTAAAGATGAATCCAAAAACCCTAAAGCAACTGCTAAAATAACAAAACAAATAGTTATATCTAATAAGCCAACAAAGGAGATAAAATGGAACCATAAAAATATTTCACTAATTCAAAAGAATGCAGGCAATGAAAAAAGTGGAACAAACAGATGGGACAAATAGCAAGATGATACATTTAAATCTAAACATATACACATAAAATTAAAGGGTTTAAATACCCTAATTAAAAGGCAGAGACTTTCAGATTGGTTAAAAAAGAAAGCCCAAAGTATTGGCTGCCTGTAAGAAACCCACTTTAAATATATAGACACAAACATGTTAAAAGTAAAAGGATGGAAACAGATTTCCATGCTAATACTAATCTAAAGAAAGCTAGTGTGGTTATATTAATATCAAAGTAGATTTCAGAGCAAACAATATTATCTTGGATAAATAAGATTATTTCATAGTGATAAAGACTTTAATTCATCAAGAGGACAAAACAATCCTAAATTTTTATGTACCTAATAAAAGAGCTTCAAATACATGAAACAAAAACTGACAGAACTACACAGAGAAATAGACAAATCCACAAATGTAATCAGAGAATTAAATCTAATTGATAGAACAAGTAGACAGAATATCTGTAAGGACGTAGAAGATTTGAATAGCACTGTAAATCAACTAGATCTAATTGGTAATTATAGAACACTTCATTCAATAGCAAAAGAATACACATTTCTTTCAAATGCACATGGAACTATCTTTGCCAAGACAGATTGTGTTTTAGGCTATAAAAGAGTTTCAACAAGTTCTCTGACCACAATGGAATTAAGTTAGAAATCAATAACAGAAAGGTCTCTGGAAAATTTCTGAATGTTCGGAATCTAAATAACACATTTATATAACCCTTGAGTCAATTATGAGGTCAAAAAGAAATTAAAAGGTATCTTGTACTGAATGAAGATGAAAACAGAAAATATCAAAATATGTGGGATGCCCTTAAAGCCTCAATTAAAGGGAGATTTATCGCACTAAATGCCTACATTAATAGATGGTAAGAAAGGTCTCAAATCATTGACCTCAGTTACTATCTTAAGAAACTAGAAAAAAAAGGGCAAATTAAACCCAAAGTAAACGGAAGGTAGGACATAATTAAAGGTTGGCGTGGAAAACAGACAAACAATAGAAAAAAATCAGAGAAACCAAAAGCTGTTTCTTTGAAAAGATTGATAAAACTGATAACCCTTCACCCATATTTATCAGAAATGAAAAAGGGCTAACACTACCATAACTACAGATTTTAGAGATAATAAATGGATAATAAAGAAATATTATGAACAACTTTAAGTGAATAACTTGACAACTTTGAGGAAATTAACAAATCTCTTGAAAGCCACAAACCACTAAAGCTCACTCAAGAAGAAATAGATAACCTAGAGAGCCATATATCTATCAAAGTAATGGAATGTGTGGTTAAAATCCTTCCTAAAGGGGCCGGCCCTGTGGCCAAGTGGTTAAGGTGGTGCAATCCGCTTCGGCAGCCCACGGTTTTGCCAGTTCGGATCCTGGGCATGGACATGGCACCGCTCATCAGGCCATGCTGAGGCAGCATCCCACATGCCACAACTAAAAGGACCCAAAACTAAAAGTATACACAACTATGTACGGAGTAGGGTGCTTTGGGGAGAAAAAGGAAAAATAAAATCTTTAAAAAAAAAATCCTCCCTAAAAAGAAAATTTCCTTTTCATTGGTAAATTTTACTAAATACTTAAGGAAGAAATAATACATACTCTATATAAACTCTTCCAGAAAACTGAACCATAGGCTATAGTTCCCGGCTCATTCTATGTGGACATAATTACCCATACACCAAAACCAGAGAACTATATTGCAAGAAAAGAAAACTATGGAGCAATAGCCCTAGTGGACACAGATGCAAAATTCTTAACCAAACTAGCAAAGCAAATCCAACAACGTAAATTGAAATAAAAGATAGGGGCTGGCGCCGTGGCCGAGTGGTTAAGTTCACGAGCTCCGCTTGGGCGGCCCAGGGTTTGCCAGTTCAGATCCTGGGCGCAGACATGGCACGGCTCATTAGGCCATGTTGAGGCGGTGTCCCACAGAGCACAACTAGAAGGACCCACAACTAGAATATTCAACTATGTACTGGGAGGATTTGAGGAGAAAAAGCAGAAAAAGAAAAAGAAAGAAGATTGGCAACAGTTGTTAGCTTAGGTGCCAATCTTAAAAAAAAAAAAGATAACATATTATGACCAGGTGAGGCTTAGTCCAGGAATGCTGGGTTGGTTTAACATTTGAATATCTGAAAATGGACATGATTCATCATCTTAACAAACTGAAAAAGAAACAGCATATGAATATCTCAACATGCACAAAAAAGTATTTGACAAAATCCTAAATTCGTTCCTGATTAAAATTTGTTTTATCAACTTGATAAAGGGCATGTATGAAAAATCTATGGCTGACATCACCCTTAATAGTGAAGGACTGAATACTTTCACCCTAAGATGAGAAGCAAGGCAAGGATGTCCACTCTCACCACTTCTATTCAACATCATATGGAGTTTCCAGCCAGAGCAACTGGGCAAGGAAAAGAAACAAAAGGCATCCAGATCAAAAAGGAGAATAAAACTGTATTTATTCACATATGACATGATTGTCTATGGGGAAAATCTAATGGAAATGTACAAAAGTTGCTAGAACCAATAACTGAATTTAAAAAGTTGCAAGATACAATATCAATACACAAAAGTCAATGTGTTTTTATATATTAGCAATGAGTAATCAGAAACTGAAAGTAAAAAATAACATCATCTATAGCAGCACCAAAATTATGAAACATTTGGGATAAATCTGACAAGCAACATGCAAGACCTGTACATTGAACATCCCCAACCATGCCAAGAGAAATTTTAAGAGATCTAAATAAAAAGGGAGATATATTGTGTTCATGGGTTGGCAGACTTAAAACTGATAAGATATCAGTTCTCTCCAGATTGGTCTATAGATTCAACATAATCCCAACACAGCTCAGGGCTAACATTCCACTAACACTTCTAAACCACACCACAGAGCTGGCCGTGGTTGCCATTGTTGCACTCAACACTTGACTTTGCATGGCTGCCCACAACTCACCTTGGCTTCAACTGCTCCAGCCAGCGCTGATTCCACCTGTAAAGATGCTGCCTTGCAATCACAGCTTCTCCTGAAAGCTGAAGGTCTTTGCCGTCACTCTCTCCACTAAAGTGGATGCTCCACCCAGAGGTTATTTTTCATCTTGCTCTCTTCTGAACTGAAGCCTCGTGGTGGGGGTGTAACAGACTATTGGCGCCAAGTCACCTGTCTGTGCTCTAGCTGCAAAGGAGGTTCAGCAAGTGAGATATCCTCTTTTTTCATCTTGAAAAGGTGGAACTTACAAAATGGAACATTTCCCAAAATTAGAAGGATATTGGGCAGCCAGAAACATAACATATGTCCCTTATATAGGCCAAATCCTAAAAATAATCAACATAAAATAATTGGACTTTAGGCTTATTTTACAAGAAACATCCTAAACTTGAAATCCATGAATCCTTTCATTAGTCCTCAAGACAAGAAAAGCCTGTGTTTTAATCCAGGAGGAACATCATTTCCATTTCCCCCAGATTCACTTAAGTGCCAATGTGTGTGTGCAGGTGGCAGTCAGGAAGACAAAATACAAAATCAAAAAATAGCCTAAGGGATGCAGAAAGTCTTCATCAAAAGTCTAAGGAGAAATGACCTATTTCCCTTTGCCCAGTCTGCACTGCTTCCCAGGGAGGCAGAGAGAAAATGGAGAAAGGGGACCACGTGTGATTAGCTCATGAGCAGACGAGGACCGCCTCCTTGATGCCTTTCAAGAAGAGCTAGTGCTTGAGTCTTGGGTCTTTCCCTCACCTGGTTTCCTGTTGCTGTTGTTTTAAAAAGATATGTCAGAAGTTCCAGAAAAAAAACTGAGATACCAGAGCCATTGTTAACATTGCTGTTATAATTTAAGGCATTCCTGGCAGTCTTGGGGAACAAATAAGCAAGTAAGCTTTGAAAGAATAGTACATTTCTACATAGGTGCATTGGATTTTTAAAAGAACATCTTTTTATATAGCTTTATATGGATGTAGTCTAAAAATATGTAATCTGTTTCTCCAGGCCATCAAAAGAGTGGGGACTTAGGCACACACACACACACACACACAGTATTTATACAATTCTACTCCCCACTCTACTATAGGACTATAATTTTCCACCTAAAGAGCACTCCTTGCATCCCCCTGAGAGGTCTAGCTCCAGGGCCAAATCCTATATGGGATCTTTGCGGGCCAACCATAGGTAATTACCAAGGCTCTGCCAGGCAGGCCCCGGGGCAGGAAGCTGCCCTCCTCACACCAGACTTGGTGCACAGCCACTGCACCGCAGTTTCCTGGAGGGAGTCCCGGTTAAGGACTCGGGCCCCCAAGGCCAGCCATGCTCATCTTCATATCTGCATTCCCAGACCAGGCACCTTCATCCAGAGGCCACAGTGTGGTGGCCTCGACTGAGGCAATTTTCTGAACTCTGAGTCAGTACTTTTCCACTCGATTCCTTCCCCTACTCTCCCTGCTCCTCACCCATGGGTCCTTAAAAATGCAGGAGCCGTTTGTTCAGGGCTCCTCAACAGTGAGCCTATACCCTGCCCCCCCACAAACCTGCGCTGATCCATTTCATCCTTGCCCAGCGCCATTCCCTGGGGGAAAACGGGACATTGGGCAGCCAGCCCGGCTCTGCGCCTCGTGCTTGCACCGCCACAGGAAGTGACGAGAGGCTTGATGGTTCATTTCCGTTTGGCTTGTTGTCCTAATTGACCATCTCGGCACTTGGTTGTGCAGCAGCCCTTCCTGCGTGTCCCCCAGTTATTTCTGAACCTCTGCAGGGGTCCTCCACCAAAGGTACTGTCAGCTACCTTGGGGAGCTTGTGGCTTCCTCTTCTCTGGTTTCTGTCTGGTCCTCGGGACTGAAAACTGGCAAGTGGCCTCTGAACTTCCGGTGCTGCTGATACAGGTGCCATCTACTAGTGATGTGTTCTCCGAGAAGCTGGCCCATTGTGTCAGACCCGCCATGCTCCCACCGTGGGTACTGCTGGTGCTGTCTACTGCCCACAGTCTTCATGGGCTTTTCTACTTCTGCTGTGTTTTCTTTGCAGGAAGATTCCCTCCCTCACGTATCCACTCCCATTACGGATGCTCATAGCAGAGCTGCTTCATTTGCTTAAGGATTTGGAGAGGTTTCTGTGAAATGGCTCATTCAGTGTTTCCAGTATTTTCTCTGTAAGATGCTGACAGAGAAGACGCTGCAGGTGAGAGGATCTGAGCGATAGATATTTACTGTTCTCAAAATGACGCCATTCCCTGCTACTGACCAGCTTCACGAAACCCCTCCTCTCTCTCAGACCCAGCGAGGTCTTTCTTGGCCGGCGGGGGTTGGTACTGTTCATTGACTCACTCAGTTGCTATTCCATCCCCAGGGTTGGAGAGGCTAGGAAGCTAAAACTTCATTTCCCATGTTCCTTCACCGAAGGTTCTAGATTCAAGGTAGGATTCATTAATGAGGTACGCTCACACATGATTTAGATGGCAGAAAGGAGGCAGGGGCCACCTTCCTGCCAGCTTTGACTGTTTCTGCAGGCAGAGAAGGTCACAGAAATTAAAATCTCCCTGCATTGGCAGTCTCCTGCTTTCTGAAGTCCAGAAACAGCTGCCGCAGCTGAGCAGACATGGAACATATTTTTGGACTCATAGCTCCAGTGGCAGCCTCAGATGTCATGGCTGGCCGGGGAGTTCAGTTCCATATTTTTTGCATGTCATTTTTGGAGTCTCGGGTCTCCAGTCAGAACGTTTTCCTCCTCATCTCCCCATGATTTTGTGAGCACCTCATTCTGGATGTTGAATTACTGCTTGCTTAAAATATCCAGAATAATTTCTGTTTCTTATCCTGAACCCTGACTGATATACCCATCTTGTAAGTGGACCTCTGGGATGCAAGTTTAAACTCAAGCTGGAACATGTCCTCTGTCACCTTAACCCCACCCATCCCTTGCCACTAAATATTTCTCCTTCGATGTATGTTTTTTTCCTGCTGAGCACTGAGCAGTATATATCTTCTGATGGTGTTTTAATGAAGAAGATGTTTAGTTTAAAACTTCAGTAGTAGTTGCTGGAGAACAGGTACAGTCATTGTACACGTCTCCTTTTATCATCTGAATGGAATGTTCTGGAAGGCATTTTGACTTACATTTCTCATTCGCCATGGTCTTTTACACACAAATCTGAGGATTAGGTCCAGACGGCTTTCTGTTTGTTTTTTTAAAGCAGCTGCAAATGAAGACATACATACCTAATGATTATTTTGGTGGATTGGACAATGTTACCAATGCTAACATCCCCCAAACTCCGTTCCATGTCCTGTAAAAATCAATGGGTTTTGCTCTGGTGGAGAGGACCTGGAGAGGCAGGATGGTTGAGCAGATTCGGCTCCTCTGCCGGTGTCAGCTCTGCAGCCAGCCGGTGGGTTCTGGGAACTATGCCTTAGGTATTTCTGCAGCAGTGTCAAAGGGATTTTTACTATGTGATGCCATATCCAATTAATTCAGAAGACTAAAAATACAGCTTGAGACACTGGAATTTTTGAGTGCAGAAGTCTCTGGCCAAGGTTTCCATTCTGGCACATTAAAATAACATTACTGCATCAGAAGAAAACCCCGGGGCAAAGAGCAAGGACGGCAGGGAGCTCTGTCTTCTTAGGCAGTAAAATGGTGCGAGGTTTTCAATTTTGTGTGGTACTGCTCTTTCAACACTATATATTTTCAAATGCCATGGGTATTTTGTGCATGTAAGCTGTCTGCTTAATGATTTAAGCCTCAGTACTAACTTAATTACCTCAACCTGGCAAGTTCTTTGCAGGAAGCGATCAGTGGTGCTGGTTATTATAAACTAAGAGGCATTTATCGACTGCGTTTTCAGCAATTTCTTTGCTCTTTCCTCTGAGTTTGAAAATGAGAGGCAGTGCACCGTTTTTACAACAAAGTCGAGGCTAATTTTCTGATGGCGATTTAATCAGACAATGAAAGCTCAACCAATTTACAACTGTGGCCATTGGTAGTTACCAATGGTTGAAGCTTATGTAAATGCCCGGAGGCCCTCCATTTCCTGCAGTAAGCTAGTGGCACTCTATCATTCTCATGCTATCCTTTATGTGGGACGAATTGTACATTCCCATCTTCTTGTTCAAGTTACTCCTTCAGGATGCATCTATCTTAACCACACTTAATGCTGGCTGGCTTTTTGGGCGGAAAAGGCTGAAAAGGAGATTACTTTGAATAGTTTGCAACATGAATACAACTTAAGTATCACCCTGCCATTTCTGTATCTTAGAGGTGGGTGGAGGAAAACTGCAGGTGCATCTCTCTGCCAGAATATATAGTAACATATTTTTGGAAGATTGTATAATGTAGTGCCCATTATACCATTGGTTTCATGAGATAATTATGAAGCACTAACGCAAATCAGCATGCTAGACTGGTTGAATATGCTAACATTCTAATTTTGTATAGAGGGTGATTATTATTATTTATAGAGTGCATAAGTGTACATAAGGCTTTATAAACACGTAGGCAGACAAGGGCTCTGCCCAAAGGTGCCCAAGTTCTAATTGCCTGAATTAGACAATGTAAATGGAAAAAGCTACTCTGCGCAAAAGTGGGAGACCAGGCAGAAAATGAGGTTCAAGAAATAAGCATTTCTGAAGGGGCGAAGGATAGACGCCAGTGTTCTTTCAGACTTAGGTTGAAGTTGCTCCATACAGTTCAGGGAGAATCGAAGTCCTGTAACTAAATCCACTTAAAAATACTTCCTGAAGACTTTTAAGAAATTTTAATTGGTTCCCACCCAGTCAGTCCTCCTCTTCTTACCTAGGTCTAGATCCCAAAGCATACCTCATCGGGAGTTCACAGGGAAAGCAAGAAAAGAGAAAGGGTACCAGACTGTAGGCTTTCGAGGGCAGGAAGCAAGTCTGATAGGTACCTGACCTTCTAAATCCATTCTCTTGGCTAGGACTTTTCTTGACTTGATACCAGCGACAGCAAACATGAAAACTGTTACTAGCAGCATTGTTTTCACACATAAGCAAATCCACATATGGAACATTATGTATGGAACACTCTTATATGGAACATTCCTTATACAAACCCCTAAAACCTACTCTTTGAAGAAGCCCTCCCCCAAATTTGAACTGAAAACAACCACACACTCTTTGCTCATTAGGTGTTACGATGTGACAGAAATGTCCTTAGAATGAATATTATGTAATTCACAAAAAAGCAGACACAAGGGGGGCTGGCCCCGTGGCCGAGTGGTTAAGTTCGCGCATTCTGCTGCAGTCGGCCCAGTGTTTCGTTGGTTCAAATCCTGGGCGCGGACATGGCACTGTTCATCAAACCATGCTGAGGCAGCGTCCCACATGCCACAACTAGAAGGACCCACAACAAAGAATATACAACTATGTGCTGGGGGGCTTTGGGGAGAAAAAGGAAAAAATAAAATCTTTAAAAAGAAAAAATCAGACGCAAGGAATGATAATTCCTATTTGAAAATCTATAATGAAGTATAATTATAACACATGAACACATGTATAAGTAAAAAGTTCTAATATCTTTAAATATAATAACACCAGCCAAATCACATGTTCATCACAAAATTATTGCTAATCTGTAATAATATTTTGGGAGTACTATCTATAAATACATTATGGCAACTGCTTGTTTTGCTTATGACATTTCTGAAATTTGGATTTATCAGTTTCGACTTTAACTTCTTCAAAGAAATCGGCCACTTAGGTTTTTATCATTGGGGTTAACTCTACCTGGATTTGAGGGCACTACACAAGCAGTTCAAATACAGAGCTATTAATATATCATGAAGCATAAAATATTAAGAGCAAATCCAAGTCCTGAGAGAAGTTGTAGGAAAATTCCGGTGTTTAATACCAAATTTACCATGTTCTGAAAACAAGTGTTTAAAATTTTTGATCTTTTCTTTGTCATGAGCTAAAATATTTTAGGCTCTTTTTAAATGTCTCTCTAAAAATGTATCTACCTAATTGGACAGACTTATTAAAATCATTTTGTCCATAATCTATAAGTGGTATGTATATGCATATATGGATACACATGTATACATATACTATAAATACATACAAGATATATGTGTTACTGGTTTTAGGTAAGTCCTATGTGAAATAATTTTTATCCTTATTCTTTCCTTTCCTTTTTTTTTTTTTTTTGTTGTTGCAGAAAATGACATGACGTATCGTGGAGCTTGTTTTGCTCAGGAGATAGCTTCTGGAAGGACAGGATTATGAATCTCCATAGTTTTGCTAACATGTATTTGCTGGAGGGTTTGGTTTAGAGACTTTAGCGGCTATGGAGTGTATGATGAAAAGCCACTGCTATATTGAAATAGTGCCCCTCTCCCCAGGAGCACCACAGCCCCAACTCCCAACAGAGCTGTTCCTTCTTTGTAAACATGATGTTCTGGCTCTGTGGTAGCTGTGCACTGGTGTGTGTGTGTAGCTAATTTTCCACCTGGTCACTGGAATGTACCTGATAATTGAAGTGCCTGGCCATAGGTGTCCTGCACTTGACAGCATGGTCACGCAAGCATTGGCCTGCAGCCTATCGGGCCATATTACCGTGCCTGGACGAGTGTGAGCTGTCCTCACACTGATTAGGACAAAGTCCAGGGCAAGTCGAGCTAACAGTTTTTCTTAACTTATTAGAAATGCAAACCCAACTTAAATGATATGCCGCATTCTGAACAGTGGAAAAATATTTGTAGTGCCCTTCAGACAGTGCTTCTGAGTTCCAAACACCAAACTTTAAAACATGTAAATGTCAATTGACAAACATGAAAGGATTCTCATAGGGTAAGAGCAGCAGTGATGTTTCCATGGACATTTCAAACTCCCACTCAGCCATTGACAGTTATTGTGAGAACTGATTTTTCCTCTCCTCTCCTCTCTTTTCCATTTTGTATAAAATATGTAAGTATAAATATATATAAATATATATTTTTTTGTTTGTTTCACATAGATGGTATATAAGTCAGTTTAAAACAGATTTTAAAAATATAGTTATTTTATACTCTTTAAAAAACAATTAATCAAGTCAACATATATTTATTAAATGTTTGCTATTTACCAGGCACTGTGCTGGGTCCTGTGGAAATAAAGACAACGTTCCTGTCCGGGAAGAGGTTATAGATTTAGATGGGACACAGACAGGTAAACAACCAATCACATTAGAATGTGGAAAAGGTTATCCTGGAGGTGTGAACAGAATACTATAGGAAGCCAAGGAAGTCATGCTCAGCCTGCCACATCCAATACCCATTACTTGCCATGGTTCTGTCAGCCAGGCTGTCACACCTGCTAATACAGCATCACCAACTAGCTGTTGACACTAAACACTTGGAAGCAAAGTTGTGACCCAGCTTAGAAGGTTGATATGTACCTGCATAGCTGCCACTTCACAATCTTGTTTTCAACCCATTCCTTTGTCAGCTACTTGTTTTTTCCCACACTATTAATCTGAATTATTATTTTCAGGGACAGCCATTCCTACTGAAGCATTGCTGTTTCTGAAACTCATACAACTAGGATCTAGTTATGTAATTTCTTCACGATGACAGTGTTTTCAAATTTACATATTAAAAAATAGGGGGCCAGCCCGGTGGCACAGTGGTTAAGTGCACACATTCTGCTTCGGCGGCCCGGGGTTCGCCTGTTCAGATCCCGGGTGCAGACATGGCACAGCTTTGGCAAGCCATGCTGTGGTAGGCGTCCCGCGTATAAATTAGAGGAAGATGGGTACAGATGTTAGCTCAGGGCCAATCTCCCTCAGCAAAAAGAGGAGGATTGGTAGCAGATGTTAGCTCAGGACTAATCTTCCTAAAAAAAAAACCAAAAAAAAGGACGGTTACAACAGGCCCTGGAAGCTGATACCCCGTGAACTTCTTTGAAATTCCCTTGTTCTGTGTTCTAATTAGGAACATGCTGTGTCTTTATTTATTTTAATTACTGTATCTATTTGCTAAATGCAACCCGTAGTTAAGGATATCCATAACATTGCCTACTTAGCTAGAATTCTAATTTTCAAATGTAGGAATTCCTGAGATTATTAAAGTGAGGCAGTAGACAGGATCTACTGGCTTCCACTTTGTGAAGCTTCCGTTTGAGATTCAAGATTGTGATGAAACTTTCTGCGGCTTCAACGTCGTCTGATCCCACTTTTAGTAACTTTATGAAGTTGACGTTAAAAAGTGTTTGTGACAGGGGGCCTTTTCCTTCCATTCTGTTTACTTTTCAACTCCCACTCTTCACCCTTTCCATGTTAAACAACTATTTTAATAAATAAGAGGCAACTCGGGCGATCAAACCGTGTTCTGGATTCAGGAAGGCAGAACTTTGCAGTTAAAAACCCTTGCCATCCGACGGGCGCAAAATTGCCAACCGCTCTGGGGTCCCTGCGGTGCGTGCCCGACGCCTCGCTGCTGACGGCGGCTCCGGCCCGGAGGTGGCGAGCGGGCGGCTCCCGGCTGGGCCCAGCCGCGGGGTGCAGAGCGCCACGGGCGCCCCGAGGCACGCGCTCTGCCCCAAAGATGGCTGGGTCGCTGCTGAGGGACAAACACTGCAGGGACAACCTTTAGCCATCCTAGAATGTCTTAAATATCCTTCATTTGCTGCCTCTGCTGAAAGTCTAGTATATTTTTGGCCCCCAGGACAACTTCAGAGAACGAGGAAATTTGGGTGGCTACTCAGGTCCCTTTCGAGAGTAAGGTTCTGGAGGGTGGCAAAGACTTAAACTGTGGCCTCGCCCTGATGATCTCGAGGGACTTTGCTCGGAGTTCTAACCACAGCGGCATCCGAGCCAGACGCCAAGGGCAGGGTATCGCGCACCCGGAGCCCAGCCCCTGCCTGGACCCCCTTCTCCGGTTCCGGGTGCGTCCGCCCAGCTTCTGGGGGAAAGTCCTCCAAGATTCACGCGGGGCGGGAATTAGGCGGGGAAGGCCCGGGCGCTTTGATCCCTTTGCAGCAACTTAGTGCACGGCCACGGTGGGCTGGGTGTCAGCTTCGAGAAGGCGAAAGGTGCCCTTGGCGCACCAAAGCGGGCTCCCTCCCAGGACCTTGGGGCGGGAGTGGAGGCCAAGGGGACCCTGAGAGCGCCCCGTTCACATCCCGCCTCCTTCCTACAGGAGCGTGAAAATCACCCCTCCCGCACGGTCCACTCCTCTCTTCTTCCTAAACCTCTAGCGCAGCGTTTTAAAGGCGTCCAGTGCATCCTCCAACTTTGGGGAAAGAGACACCCAACTCCCGCTCTCCCACCGCCCCGGTCGCGTTAATCCGTTTCCTTTGGTCGCATCCAAACTCGGCGTCCGTAGCATCCCCGCCCCAACCTGGAAGCGAGCGCCCCCGGCTGTTCACGGCCGCCCCTTGGCGCCTGTGTGCAGGGAGCTCGGTTTCTGGCAGGATCCAGCTGCGGTTCCGACTGGTCCCCGGTCTTGCGAGGCACACGCGCGTGTGCACACACTCCCGCGTCCTCGCTCCGTGCACCCCACCCTCTGCACCGCTCCTCCGCGGGGTGCGGGGGGGGTGGGGTGACGTCAAGACTGCAGTCCCGAGGAGAGCGGCTGGAGAGGGCTGCGCGCTCCTCGCCGAGAAGCTGGAGGCGCACTCGGGCGGCCGCGGCGCCCGCGCTCCTCCCTCTGCTCTGCACCCGCTGTCACGCTGCCCGCGCGCGGGGGAGCATCGCAAGCCTCCAGGTGAATTGAAAGTCGTTTCCGGGGGAGGACGGCGAGGGTGCTGCAGTCCTGGCATGCACTGAAACTGCAACTCGGACAGAAACGACCCAGCGGAGGAGCACGGCGCGCGGCGCGCTGCGCAGCATCCTCGGGCTGCTGGAGGCTGTCGTTGCTCAGCTCGCAGCCGAGCGCCGCGGCCGGACCTCGGCCCCGGGACGCCGGCCCTGGGCGCGCTCGCCCGGACAGACCCCCAGTCCTGCGCATTTCGCCGCTGCGCTCGAGTGGGGAATGCGAGCGCGGTGGCTCCAGGTCGCCGCGGAGCAGCTGCCTGGCGGAGAGCGAGGAGAGGCGAGGGGGCGGCAGCCTCGGCCCGAAGTAAGTGCAGCAGAAGTTTGCGTCGGTTTCCCCGCCGCTCCCCTCGAGCGAGTGGGAGGCAGAGCTCCTCCCCTCGTTCTCTGAGGAGACCCGGGGCAGACTTACGAGGGAGCCCCTCCCGGGGGAGAAAGTGAGCGTTTCCGGGGGGCCCAGGACCGAGAGCACAAAGGCCAGGAGGGAGCCCAATGGGGAGAGGAGGTGCCAAAAGAGGAGACCCCTGCCTGGGGTGAGGGACACGCAAGGAACCCTATCCAGGGGATCTCAGAAAGGGAGAGATCTGGAGAGAGTGCAGGTGGAGGCAGTCACACCTATTCTGGTGACCTTGGCGTGCCCCCCTGGAGCGGCGAGCCAGGGCTGATCAGAGGTTGGAAACGGGTGCGACTAGGATAGTGCGTGGCTTCTCGCCGGCGTGCGCTGAGGGCATCGCGCTCCCAGACGCTGGAAGACCAGGGCAAGAGGAGAGAGAAGGCGGCCCGAGGCGGCGACGCTGGAGGGTGGGGACGCCGGGGAGTCGGGACCCAGGTGCTCGGAGTGGGAGGTTGGGATCCTCTGGGATGCTCCAGCCGCGACGCGGGAGACCGCGGCCGGAGGAGGCGGGTGCGACGCTTTGGGTCGCTACAGTTGTTGCGCGTCTTTCGAGCCTCGGTAGCGAATTCTTGTAATTGGGAGGCTTCTCTGAGGGCGACAGCGCTCGGGGAGCAGGCTGACCGGCCGCGGCGGCGACGGGCCTCTCCGCTGCCCTCCCTCTCCGCTGCTCTCCCCGCGCCGCCTCGGATCCCCAGGGGTCTTCAGGCTGTTCCCCGCGGCCGCGAGGGCCGGACCAGAGTGGGTTTGCTCAAGTGACGTCGACTTTCTCTTCACTCTTTCTTGGACCATGTTCAGCTCTTCTTGGCTCCCTCTTCTCTAATCAGACTACCGAAGGAGGTCTTATTCTTTAACCGACCAAACTTCTAGTGGGGAAAAAAAGTTCCTGGAAGCTGCGTTGCGCCTAGGAGCAGAGCCCCGCGGTGGGGGGGCGAGGGCGGCGCGGACCAGCTCGACCACTCTTTTTACCTGGGGAAGGTTCTCGGAGAATTTTATATAAAATGTGATAAGATTATTCCGGGAAGGCAACGAAAGCATCTTTTTCTAGAGTAGGACTGTCTGTGCCTAGGAAACCCGTATCCCACTCAGCTTCTGGTACCAAGGGTACACTTTGCGGGGAGAGGAAGATGTCTAAATAAATCTTTTTTTCTTTTTTAAGTCATTCATGGTGCATCCTGATTTCATTTACTCAGATTCATTCATTTATTCATGCAAAATGCTTTATGAGGTCCAATATGTGCCAGGCCTCGTGTTAGATGCTGGGGCAATGGAAATAAATGATTGATGTATGGCCCCAGTACTCAGGGAAATTACAGTCTATAAAAGAAGGGATCTGGAAAGAAGATGGAAAAAATACATGGCCCACAGGAAAAGGCAGATGCTGCCTGGTTTTTGTCACAATGACTCCCTCCCAGCTCATTAACTATGGGACCCAAAGTCTGCTGGATTTTCTCTTCCCTGAAGGCAAGGATCATTCTTCTTTGATGCTTGGAGGTCAACACTGTGCCAAGCACATAGTAGGTCATCAATAGCCTCTGTTAAACGAATGGATGAATGGATGAATTATTCTCAGAGACAAGTGTCTTAAAGACGGTATCAGGCTGTATTTGGGGAACATGCAAAGAAGAAAGAATGTGTTGGAAGGAGAAGAAATAAAGGGAGCTGGAGAGGGCAAGAAATAAGAGAAGATAGAGTTCATAGACATTTGAAGGTACATATTCTTTAACAAACAAGTTTTGTTTTCCATTTTCACAGTGGAAATTACCAGCACCCAG